ATATATATATATATATATATATATATATATATATATATATATATATATATATATATATATATATGCGTGCATGCTCGCATGCACACATACATCGGTGTTTAGTGTTTTGTTTTTCGTCTTGCAGTGTCAAGACACTCCAAAACACATGCAAACAGGAAGTCCACAAGATAAACCCCAAACCGCTGAGCCCATAAAACAAGAGGCGCAGCAGCAGCAGCAGCTGTTGCTGCTGCTGCTGCTGCTGCTGCTACCTGCTTGACGGCGCTGCTGCGAGAGGAGGTAAAGCTGAGGACTTTTGCATTTGTTTTTTTTTTTTTTTTTTTTTTTTTTTNTTTTTTTTTTTTTTTTTTTGGATAGAGCTGAAGATAATAAATAAAATATTTCTGTCATTGCCACAGAGCAGAGTCAGAATGCCGCCAAGTCCTTTCTATGCAGTAAAACTAAACACGCCAGAGAAACAGCTGCTCCACCCAAGCAGCCCCCTTCTCCGCTGCTGCTGCGGCTGCTGCTGCGGCTGCTGCTGCTGCGGCTGCAGCAGCAGTTGCTGCTGCTGCGGCTGCTGCGTCATCGAAAGCTAGCGGCTTATTCGGGATAGGCCTTCAGCAGACCACGACGAAGGCACTGCAGCAGCACGCCTGCCTCTCTACAAGATGCTGCGAAGCTGTTGCTGTTGTTGAGAGCGCAGCAGCAGCAGCTGCTGCTGCTGCTGTTGCTGTTGCTGCTGCTTGTCACCCACCACGATATGTTCTGCTGCAGCTGCTGCGGCCGCAGTTAGGAGGTTTACGTGCTGCTACAGAGCCACAAAGACCCTGCATCAGAGTATAGGCAACTGTAGCTGCTGCTGCTCGCAAAAAACCTGCTGCTGCGACTGCTGCTGCATATTCTCTAGCAGCATCTGCTGCTGCTGCTGCCAAAAGCCATTGCTGTTGTTGTTGTTGTTGTTGTTGCTGCTGCTGCCCCCAGGAGACGCCCCATCAAAGTCCCCCACCATAAGAGCTGCAGCAGCAACAGCAGCAGCACTGCCCGTTGGCCCCGTGTCAGTGAGCGAGCAACTGGTGAGGGGGCTGAGGGAGGAGAAGGGGCCCACAACAGTAGCAGCAGCAGCAGCTGCTGCTGCTGCTGTTGCGTCCGGCTGCGCATCCAGCTGGCAGCCTTGCTGCTGTTGCTGCTGCTGCTGTTGCTGCTGCGCGCCCCTGAAAGAGACCGGCTGGAACTGGGGAGGCAGCACGTCATACAAACCGCAAATCTGCAGCAACAAACACACAACCCTAAACCCTAAACCCTAAACCCTTCAGCACGCAGCGAACTCGGTGCAGGGGTGTGGCACTGCGGAGTTCAGGGTTTAGGTGCTGTATATAAAGGCGAACACCACGCATACACCAAACCCCTAAACCCGCTAAACCCTAAACCCTAAAC